TTTCAGAGATACAGCTCTGTTCAAATATGGAAATGGTATTTTTTCGACTCTTTAATTTGTGGCTGCGTTAATAAAATGCCAATGGGGCAGTCCATGAACAACAGTTTTTCCTACTACCACATGTTTTGTTATGGTTAGGTCGTCTATTGTTTATGTTTTTCATGTGCGTGACTTAATTTGAATCTTTCATGTACCTATGTATGCCTTTTACCACCTTGGCAAATGGTAGAAACCAAACTACACATGAGGTGGTTCAGGTTCTGTTCTTTTGGTGAGGTTCTTGCGGCTCAGGCAGTTTCCTCGGTCCGATATTTGTGCTGTTTTAGAAGGTTTCCTTGGTCTGTTATTACTTCTGTGCTTAGTGCATTGATTCCCGAGAAAAAAACTGTTACATGGTTCGGATGGTCTCTTGGAATTATTGGTGGTCTGCTGGAATTATTGCATGTTGTTATGTTGGTATAGTAATTTACAGGCTACAGTCAAGGGCTGATAGATCCGTTTATTTTCCTTCCTTTCCCTTTTTTTTAGGCATTCTATTTTCCCTTGTTTAATTTTCGTTTAAGCAATTTTTCCTCCTGGTATCCCATGCTAAAACTGCTGTTGTCCCATCCCTCCTCCCCTTCTCCTTCTAAATTTCCTGGATGGTAAAGTAGCATATTTTGAAAAGCTATTTATAGTTAAACTAAAATAATAAAATAATATAGAACTACAATCCAAGATGGTTTAATTCCTTCCCTCCTCCTCTTCCCATCTTGAATTTCCTGGATCAAGGTAAAGTAGTACATTTTGAGAAGCTATTTATAGTTAAACTAAAATAATATATAACTACAGACAAAGATGTCTTAATCTTGGTTTAGATATGCCATAGCCCTTTTTAGTAATATAATATGTCCATGACAGGGTTCCATCCTGTCTACATCAATTTGCTTGTGTTAGATAGTTTAGTTAATGTATTAGAGCATAATACCCAAAGATCTGCTCTACATTTTAGCCAGCTAGCTTACCTTCTGAGTTAGTTGTTTTCTACTTAGAGTGCCAACTTGCATTACAGGATTGCAACTTGATTTTTCAACAATGTTTTCGAGATGACCTGCCTATGCCAAATGCCATCTTGAAATTCCTAGATCCTCATATGTATTGTTTTTCTTTTGCTGCGTCGGTGGCCAAAGGTCTAAAATATCAGCCCAGATGTTCTTGTGCAATTTTCGTCTTTTTGCTGTGTGTGTGTGCACATGTTCCTTTTAATTTTGTCATTCTGTTTGTTTACTAAAAAGGTAACATGTCCTGCCACTTTAGTATCTTAGAAGTTTGGTGTACAATCGGGGAGGGTGGTAGCCTGGCTTGGCGCTTTACAATAGAAAATCACACGCTAACGGCTGCTTCTTCCTTGAGGTATGCTAATTTTTTTAACTGTTCCTCTATTTGTCCTTTCTTTACTATCCTAAATGTGATTGAAGGTATGTTTGTAAAAATATTTATGGTCTAAAAAAGTAATATTTTAATCAAATATAGCTTTGATTTTCACTCTCAGTGCCGCTTGATTGACGACACCTTGAGAAAGTTCATGTCTCGGGATGATTAGTATAGCTGTAGTCTACCTTATTTGTGAAAGACGAGAAAATCTATATTTTAGCATCCCATCAATTTCAAGGTATAAACGTCGTTACCTGCAAGATTTGATTTTCGTTTAATTGCCGGCGCGCGCAAAGGCGCGCTTGATGGACTAGTTATTATTATTAGGAGTAGTACTATTATAGCAAACATATTCGTCCGTTGCAACCAAAGAAAGAAGAGCTCAAAACATTTACGAAAATATGTCAACTTTAAAGAAATCTCAAAAAGTGTATCCGCCCTGGCGGATGCATTTTTATTTCAAGACCTCATAGTCCATCCCGTTGACCTCCGACGATGCAAACTCGCCATCGGCCGATCGGTGCTTTAGGACATGGCAAATTTGCCTGGATGAGGTATCTCCTATGTCATCAATTTTCAACACTGGTGACTGGATTGGCAAGCCTTGGCGGATGTTGGGGTCCATATCCCCTTGGGGTCCACTTGCTTCGTCTCCGTTCAGCCATACAACCATCGACGTAAGCCAAAATGTTACTTGTAGAAAAACCGGAAGGCGGGTCCAGTCTCTGGGAGAAGTGGAATCCTGAAATGTCACCGTAGGCCTCGTTCGCTTCGTTGAAAAAACAAGCCAAAATATTGTTCCGGTTGATTTGTTGTGAGAGAAAAATATTATTTCGGCTAAAAAAATAAGCTGAAAAAGATATATTATAAGATAAGCGAATAGTTCGCTCGAGGTCACCTTCGAGAGAGCTAGAGGCTAGCGCAAAGGCACCTTTGGCCATCTAATACACGGGGTTTCGGGATGGCTTGGAATGAAGCCTGAAGTATATCACGTCCATGAAGGGGACATGGTTACACGAGGAGCGCGGTGGCTGCCAAATGACCAACGGCTCAAGAAGTCAAATACAATTTGGATTCTGGTACAAACTAAGATTGAAAAAGACTAAAATAGAGCTACGACACTAAGGAATTTGCTTAAGATCTAGTTAAAGGGAAATATTATTATAGTCTGCCAAATGTAATCTGAATACTATAAAGGCCTATTTGGATTCTCTTGTCTAAAGTTTAGCTCGCTAAAATTAAGGGCTAAAACTTTATACCATTTTAACTCACCTGTATGGTCTAAAGTTTTTGTGAGGTTTTCTAAACTCTAGACAACGCTTTGAGCCTCCTACTTGAAGCCTCACGAGGTCCTAAAGTTTAGAGACTAAATTTTAGATCATGGATCAAAACAAGACCTATATAGTGCTCTCATATATAGACAGAGTGATCCAACAACTTCAAAGTTCAAACTTCACTGTTTACTTGCATTTCGCACTACTTGGCACGCGCACTGTCCGAGACCTTGATCGAGCACAACACTACAACAGCGACCGACCCAGGTCTTGCCGATCTAAAGATGTCAACGGGGACCCGATCCCCGATTCCCCACGGGGAATTCTTCCATTAGGGGATGGGGATGGGGGGAAATTAATCCCCACGGGGAAGGATTTGGTAGGAATGCTGTCCCCGTCGGGGATGGCGGGGACATGGATGGTTGCCTGGTCCCCAACCCCGATCCCCGCCAACCCGCCCCTTGAAGAAGGCACCAGACGGCCAGGTCGCTACTCGCCAGGCCCATGTAAAAGGCCCAATAAATCACGGAGTATATAACGCACCATTCCAACCCTAATTCGTTCCTCAAGCCATCACGCCGCCCCCTGTCTCGCTTGGCATCTCGCACTCTCGCTCTCACGGTTTGCCTCGCCCACGAAAAGACAACCAACCCGGGTCCGGGGGGCAAGCGGGGGGAGACTGGAGAGACAGAGAGCAGGGAAGGAGGGGAGAGGAAAGGGAAAAGCGGGTCGCGAGTGCGCCCCCCCCCGCTTTTGCTCCAATCGGCGCCGCCTCGCGCGAGATCCGCTCCGCGCCGCTGCCGAGGTGAGCTTCGCCCGCCCTCCCTCCCCCGCTGATCCACGCGGCCCGATTTGGCACTCGGTTTTCGGCCTGGGACAGCCCCCCCGCCGCCTGCTGTCCGCGTCTACGGTTTGGGTCGGGGCGGCGCTTCGGAGCTGCGAGGGGGCATGTTGCCGCGGTGGGTCTCCGGTGGCGGTGAATTGCAGCTCCGCGCTGCGTGGCTCTGGTTCTGGCCTCACTTCTTAAGGAGTCGCCTGTCGCGGGGACAAGGACCCTGTCGGGGATGCATTCCCCGCTCGGTTTCGGGGATGGGGACAGAATGTCCCCTGTGAGCTTTCGCGGGGACGGGGACGGGGATGGGAGGACGATCCCCGACGGGGAATTCCCCGATGCCATCGTGATGCCGATCCGAGCGTTTGGCTGAGGCACTTCACTCCTGAGTCCTGACCTCTCCGAGTCCGAGCACACACCGCAGCGCCCGTGGGTCTGCGACGCAAAACTTCTCTTCGTCCAGGTGCTCTCGTGTGCAGAGTCCGTGGAAGGCCGTGGGAAGCGTCCGCAAGGATTTAGCTCACGCGCTAGGCCGCTAGCGCTACCAAGAACGCATTTTGCGCTGTGGCCTCCCGTTGCCGTTGGGCTGTACATGTGAGTACGTGAATCGGTGGCAAAGGCAGCAGAGGGACAAAGAGTGATGCGGCCCGTTTGGTTCTGTCACCGAAAGCGGCGGCGGATCCTGCTGGTCGCCGAAAGCGGCGGCCTTCTCTGACTTCCAGTTTCGCAATCGCAATCGTGTGGGCAGAACACGGTCATGTTCGATTGTAATCCATCACCAGAGTTCGTTTCACAGATCGCTCTTGGCCTGCGTGAACTGGGCCGGGTACTGGTGTGGCCGGATCATGTACACCCTGGTGTGAACACGACGTGATCTTGACCATGTAATTCCTGGTTGACGCTACTTGGGCCGTCAGCTATGGATGGATTCCTTCCGTGCATCTTCCGAAGACGGTTATGGTTAGTTGGGATTGGTACCTTCCTTGCCGCCAAAAAACCAAGATGCATCCATCCATAAACACAAAGGGGGAGACAAAATCAAGTTCGATAAAACGTGATGGAAGTGAAGCTAACATGCACGGATTAGGCTTCTCGTAAACAACTTCTTTTATTTTCTGTGGAAATATACTAGTTTCTACTGCTTTTTCCCCCTTTTCTCAAACTTCTTTGCCTCTGGCTGCTCTGCGTTTCCAGCCCCTAGCTTGTTCAGAAAAATCAAAACCCTTGTGTGGCGCCACGCACCGACGCACGCCGCGCCACCACATGCGATCTGGGCGTTCGACCTACGCCAACGCAAAAGGGCAAAGCTCGTTCTTTCGATTATACAAACGGATTACCCCATACTGCAGCAACGCGCAACACCGCGGCCGCGCGCCTACAAATACCCGCGCGAGCGAGGTGACCACCTGCCCGGAGCACGAGATCACCACCAGGCATCAGCACCGACCACCGAGCCACCGACAGAAGCCGGCCGGCAGACAATGGACGGCCAGGGCAACGGCGACGCGGGTGGGAGCCAGTGCGACATCGTGGCGCGGGCCTTCGTGGATCACTACTACCGCACGTTCGACTTCGACCGCGCCGCGCTGGCCGCGCTCTACGGCCAAACCTCCATGCTCTCCTTCGAGGGCCACGCCGTCGCAGGCGCCGAGGAGATCGGCCAGAAGCTGGCGCAGCTGCCCTTCGAGCAATGCCGGCACACCGTCAGCACAGTCGACTGCCAGCCCTCGCCGTCCTTCCCCGGCAGCATCCTGGTGTTCGTCAGCGGCAACCTCCAGCTCGCCGGCGAGGAGCACCAGCTGAGGTTCAGCCAGGTAGGTGTATATATGCATGCCATCTCGGCAGTACGTCTTTTCCTCTCAAACTGTTTCCGATCGAGTTGGAGGCTTGAATTCTGATGCTGTGATTCAGGGCCGGTTTAGATTCGAAAAATTTGGCAAATGAGCATTGTAGCGTTTTCGTTGTTATTTGGCAATTAGTGTCCAATCATGGTCTAATTAGGCTTAAAAGATTCGTCTCGTGGATTTCATCTAAACTGTATAATTAGTTTTATTTTTTATTTATATTTAATGCTTCATGCATGCGTCCAAAGATTCAATGTGACGGGAAATCTAGAAAAATTTAGCGTTTTGGAGATAACTAAACAGGGCCTCAATGTTGGAGTGCAGATGTTTCAGCTGGTACCCAACGAGCAGGGGAGCTTCTTCGTGCAGAATGACATATTCCGGCTCAACTACGGCTGACGCAATGGCCGGTAGCGTGTGGGTGCCGAAAGGAAGTCGGTGCTGGGCTGATGCTTTGATGCCACACATGGACGCCTGGCGCGTGTTCCTCTGTTTTCTCCTTTCGTTTTCGGTCCTCTCTTCGTGTAGGATGCAGCACAGCATCCCAGACTCCCAGTGTTTCCTTTCAGAAAATGTAGCATCCTAAATAAAGTTTCCTTTCAGAAATTGTTTCCATTTGAGAATGGCTTAATATTTATACGAAAGTGTTGTTACAATCGGCCCATCTTGGAGTACAGTTTGGGTGGGCTGCCTCGCCTCTGTGTGGGCTCCGAGTTTAGTTTGGAATTTAGTTTTTTTTATTGTTTAATAAAATTGCTCTGTTTCAAATATTAGCAAGAATACGCTTCCATCACTCACTGAAAGGGCGGCCGAAATTAATCGCCCTCTAGAAATGTTATGTGTACAAAGAACCCTTTAATGATATTATCAATATATACATCTACTCTATATTTTTATAAACCTTACAAAAGCAAACTCACAAATTATCAATCTCCTCATGTAAGCTATGCACATTATCCCTCACTAAGTGCAAAAATTGTCCACACTATCATCCACTAAGTACAAAGTTATCCATGTCACACCTCCCATTAGGACAAGTAAGTACATTACTACACGTTAGCGGTTTTAAAGTCATCTCATGCATATTCCAAGGAAGTGAGTGTGCATGCGTGTATTAGAGCGTCTACTTCTGTACTGTGTTTTCAAAAAAGTCGCAAATCATTTTTGATGCAATTAAACAATCTAAAGGTTTAACACGCTACATTATTCAAATTCAGAAATGGGCAAAAGTCATTTTTAGAGGTGCCTCGAAAGCCTCTACCTTAAGGTATCCATCGATGGGGATTTTTGGAGTTAGTAATTTTGACTCACCTCTGTAAATCAACTTAAAATAAAAAGATCCAGCCCTGCCAGGATCCAAACTCAATGGATCCGGACTCCTCCACAACAGATTGGGCCTCTTTCTCGTCAGATATGTCGCCCACATAGATGATGCGTTCGTCCACCGCATCTGTTACCTGACGGGCCTGCTGTGAAAAGGCACACAACAGAGGAACGACATGATCTGTTCGTCCATGGCCATGGCGACGCTGCCCTCCATGGAGAGACGCTTGATTGAGGGCCACGTCGCCATGGCTTGTGACTGGGATTTACCTCTTGCGTGGACGTTGTGGTCAGATGGAACGATAGAGAAAAGGTAGATCGTGGCCTACTGCCCTGGCCATCATGGTTAGAGTAGGGAATGAAGGGGAACCGTTGGATCCAAACCCATGTCATATCGTGCCACCATGGTCATTCGAGGAGGTTGTGCACCCCGACCTATGCCACCCCATGACCATTATGGTAAGAAAGCAACAGGGAGGCGACACCCTGACGGCTTTAGAGCACCCGCAACAATAAGTCAGTTACTGGCTTTAAGTCAACCTCTCCAATAGTGTTAGCTTTTAGCAATGGTTCATAGTATGATTAGATCCACATGACACTCTCACATGTTTTTAGAATATGTGTATGAGCCTAACTCCTGATCAAGAGGTAGCTTTTCTCTCTCTCTCCTATTAAAGTATGAAAAAAATGCTTAGTACTAGCTTATGAAGCTCCCATTGTGGGTGCCTACTGCCCTTACATCTACAATTCTTGACTGCAGACTGCAGCACGGTTCTCGACAGTCGACCCAAATAAAAAGTCATGACAATTCTTGGTTGCGCTTGTACACAGGTGAAAAAATCACGTAGGGAAGTACTAGTGACATGTCCTTCTGTAACGAACAACTATTTCACCAACACCCCTCTATTCAAATTCCAAAGACCATGTGCTATCGGTTGAAAACCATGTGCCCGATCATAAGTCTTACAGCCAGGTAGCCGTGATAGTCAATGGTTATTTTGCTATACATGCAATACTTTATTGGAAATTTGAAAACACTGTGTAGTTCGAGTAATTATGAACCTTATTATCCAGTCATCCTCCCCTCCTTGTCATGTACCTATAGAACCCCAGCTGCGGTGTGTCATCACTAGCCCAGTACACTAGTCACCATGCTTAGTAGTAGTAATGAGCCTCTCCTCTCCTCGCCCTACCAAGAAAACGCTTCTCCATGCAGGCCCGTCTCGCTGATCACGCTGTCATCGGTGTTGGATATATTATCGGGCTAGCCCATATAATATTTAATAAATTAAATTAAATTATATGGTCCGTAACATTAAGCGTGGTATGGTTTAATACCGTACGAGATTTTAACTGAACGTTGACTCAGCTTATTTGGTTGAAAAATATCTATCTTAATTGAGAAGCTGAAAAAAGGACATAGGAGTGCCACGCGCGCGTCCCGCCGCCGGCTAGGTCGGGCCGTGGGCGTGGTAGGCGGCCGTGGCCAGGTTTTGCCACTTAATCCACATAATTATGGGAGTTTCTCTTTTTTATGGTGGAGGCGAGTTGATTGTGCCAGTTACCGTCTCTTCGTGTCTCCGTCTCCTGAGTTTCTCGGCTGGCTTTTTCCCTCCCCGCCGCAGGCATAGAAGTAGAAGTCCTCCGTCAGTCCAATCTTCTCTTCGCTTCCGAGAGACCACATCTCAGCCGCCCTATGGTTTTTCTCGTCCCGTAGCTCTGCGCGCACGGATCAACGGGAGATCAGGTGCCTCCGGAACCCTCGTCCGCCTGCGAACCTTGGACAAGGTGTGCGGCGATTATGATTTTTGGGAGCGATTCTGCGACTGCTCGTCCACGTCGCAGACGTCTTCTTCCTGGTGACCGTTCGTGGGACTGCACTGCAAACACCTTCCTGCATCGACTGTGGTCCACGACTTCAAGCAACGCACTATGTCTGGTGCGAATGGAGCCTCCGATGCCCTCGGCATGGGACCCTCCACTGGGTACACTCTTAACTCTCTGATTACCGTACTTTGCATACTTACTGTATCGATCGGTACGTCATATTTGCATGCTGTAGCGTTTGTTAGTGATATACACATACGCATATATGTCATCACGAACCTGCTGATGTTTTATTTCTGGATTAAATTGACCATGAAAATGCTTAATTATCTAACAATCCAAAAACCTAATGTGAGGTAATTTTCTGTCAGTGGTTTTGCTGCTGCTTTGAAGCCGAATATCTTTGATGGCAAGGATGTCATAATATGGCGTACCAAGATGGTGTTGTGGTTGACTGCTATGAACCGCTATCACGCCGCACATGGGAAGCCTGAACAATTTACTCCTAAGGAGGAGCAAAAGTTCTTGGCTGCCGATAACCTGTTTCGAGGCGTCGTGATTAGTGCACTTCATAGTAAGTATGAGAAAAACTACATATCTTGCACATCAGGCAAAGAATTATGGGATGCTCTTAGGCAAAGTTTGGAGTTTCTGATGCTGATAGTGAGTTGTACTTTATGGAGAAGCTGTATGACTATAAAATGGTTGAAAACCGTTCTGTAGTGGAACAGGCTCATGAGATATAGGCGCTAGCAAAGGAACTAGAACATTTTCCATGTTTGTTGTCGACAAGTTTGTGGCCGACGGTATACTCGCTAAGCTGCCACCTTCTTGGAGGGATTTTGCTACTTCTCTAAAACACAAGAGACATGAGTTTAGCGTGTCTGAGCTTATTGGATCTCTTGATGTTGAGGAGAGGGCGAGAGAAAAAGACAACCGTGGAAAATGAGTTGAGTCTTCCGCTGCCAATATGGTGCAGAAGAAAAACTCATTTGTATCATGTAATAAGAAGAAGAACATGCAAGAGAACAACAATACAAAGCCTAAGCAAACTGCTGAGTTTAAGAAGAAAAACAACAAGAAAGGTGGAGATTGCTTTATTTGCGGGAGTGATGAGCATTGGGCAAGTAAGTGTCCAGACCGCAAATATAAGCAATAAAAGAAATCAGCAAACGTGGTGATTAGCGAGACTGGAGGAGGAACATCTGGGTATGGTAATTCTTTACCTTTTGTTTTTTCAGTTTATTTTTTACCTGAGTGGTGGATGGATAGCGGTGCTAATATTCATGCGTGTGCTGATGTTTCTTTGTTTACTTCCTATCAGGCCGGCAGGACTGGAGTCTTGTTGACGGGAAACGGTTCGCATGCGCGTGTTCTTGGTGTTAGTACGGTCGTTCTGAAGTTTACTTCGGGAAAGACGGCGCTATTAAAGAACGTGCATCATGTCTCCTCCATCAAGAAGAATCTTGTTAGCGGTTCTCAAATGTGTCTCGATGGCATGGCTTTAAAATTGTGCTTGAGTCCAATAAGTGTGTTGTGTCGAGACATAGAACATTTGTTGAAAAAGGTTATGATTGTGGAAGCTTGTTCTGCTTATCTTTGCTTGATGATGTGTATAATAAAGTAGTGAACAATGTTAATGTTTTGGATGAGTCGAATATATGGCATTCACGACTTTGTCACATTTATTTTGGCTGTTTCACGTGGCTTGCAAATCTGAATTTAATCCCAAAATTTAACTTAGTCAAAGATTCTAAGTGCTAGGTGTGTGTGCAATCGAAGCAACCGCGCAAGCCTCACAAGGCTGCTGAGGCGAGGAATTTGACACCATTAGAACTCGTTCATTCTGATTTATGCGAAATGAATGGCGAATTGACTAAAGGCGGTAAACGATACTTCATAACATTTATAGATGATTGTACTAGATTTTGCTACGTGTATTTATTGAAAACTAAAGATGAAGCGTTGCATTATTTTAAAGTCTATAAAGCTGAGGTAAAAAATCAACTTGAGAAGAAAATCAAACGTTTGCGGTCCGATCGTGGGGGAGAATATTTCTCAAATGAATTTTCTAAGTTTTACGCGGTGCATGGAATTATTCATGAGAGGACGCCACCATACTCACCACAGTCCAATAGGATTGTAGAGAGAAATAACCACACTCTAACTGATTTGGTTAATGCCATGTTAGAGACTACGGGACTATCTAAGGAATGGTGGGGTGATGCTATATTGACAGCGTGTCATGT